TTTTTGGCAATTTTCATATTTTTTCCAGAATTTTCCCCAATTTCCATCAATGGCTTGGTTTAAGTTTAGTTTCTGCAATGACGGCCTCCTTGCAAACCATAGTGCAAGTGTTTAATAGTGTTAAATCCCAAGCAAGCTAGCATGTAGGTGTCCCCTACCAATATTGACTAGTATGATATCACATGACAACTAAATGCCATTTGTAAAGCAGTGATAGGTATTATTTAGAAAAATTAAGAAAATCGTTTTGTTAAAAAAAAAAAAAATTCCCTACCTACCTACCCTAATTTTTTTGGAAGTGTAACCGGAACCACACATATTTTTTTGTTTGGCCTTAGATTATAATGTAAATAAGTGATTGATTTATTATCAATTTCAGGATAAAGAGGGTGAGGAAATGGGCTATTTATTATTATTGGTTATTTGCATATATTTTACACCCTAATTTCATGAATTAAACTTGAAAAATTTTTGTTAAGTTAAATTCATCTTGAAAAGAAAGCTTACCCATGTTAATGTCTTGACATCAGTGTTTAGGAATACTAAGCCGACTATGAGCTACAACCAGACAACTTTTGCTCTTTCTGATAATTATCTAATCCTTTTGTGACAAAGTGTTTCATCACAACAGAATGAAGCAGATTTCAGTTACGATGTTTATTTATCACTATTGTCATCATCATTCTTTAGATTTCAATGCCAATTTTCTTTGAAACAAATTCTAATATATAAACTAGATCTGAACTGAAATCCGGAAAAATGGTACTGAAACCTAATTGAACAACTTGGAAGGCGGTTTTCAGTTATTTCTGGGAGCCGTGACAGCCCTTATCCAGAAGAGGATAAGAATTAAATATGGATGCTATCAATCAGGAAATCTACAGATGTGCAGTCAATTTGCTATTTCTTTTTTTTTCTATCAAAATACAAACCATACAACTTGCATACCCTTATATACCATAATTCGTTTACATGCATGTATATGTTAGAATGTATTCTTATTATCTAATAGTTAATTATGATTATGTACTGCTATAATTCCAAAATGAAACCATAGTGACCTACTTTTGAGACATACTACCCCAAAAGATGCATTAACTAACTAACTTACAGTCCTACAGATACAATTTGACAATATTTAGCCATAAAAGTCCAGTGACCTACTTATGAATTGTGACACATCTTTCCCCCAAGATGCATCAGTTGGAAGGTTTCATGTTCCCAGACCTCACAGTGCTGAAGATATGATTAATACATAATTTGATAATGTGTGGTCATAAAATTCAGAAATGAGTCCAGGGTGACCTGTTTTATGGTTCTGACCCACTTTCTCTTCAAGATGCATCACCCAATCAAATTTGGTGGTCCTAGGCCTCAAATTGTACAAAATATGATCAGGACACAATTTTACTATGATTAGCCATAAAATTACACTAGAAATATGTCCATAGGACATAAATTCCCCATCCAGGATTCATAAGTAACGCAAAATGAAAATTTTTATTAGTTTATGAATTTTGATGACAATTTCTTGATGAGTTTCTTTAAAACTGAGTTTTTAGACATGAATAATTTAATTCTGGTTATAATGCGGTATTTGATTGGATAAAAAATTTACTTTCTTATGTATAAATTGGGTTGCCTATGTCACAAAGACTTGCGTCAAAAATGTATCCATCCACCTGATGTTATATTTAAATTTAGTACAATATGAATCGTCATTTTTAGGGGCAAACATCTTTTTCTTACACTAAATGAATGAAAATTAAATTATAAGGAATGAAATTAATAGCTACCCAATTTATACGGTATAAAGTGGGTTGGAACAGTTTATTCTTTTTTTATCCGTTTTGCTGTTTATAAAGCGTAAACTGCCCCAACGCAGCTAGGTTAAGGACTCCCATATATACGTCAGCCTATGCAGAGGTTCGGTAAAGCTATTATGACGTCACGTTAAAACAATTCAAATGAATCTCGATGAATAAGTACTATATGTTCTTTTTAAAACACACTAAATACTTTCGTTTATCATAAATATTATGAAGATAAATGGATGTGCAACTTATCTTGCCATAATAGCACTTAGCTTATGTAGAATGAAAGCCAGCTTGATCTCGCTGTACTTACTTAGATGACGTCATTTCTTAGTTTGACACGCAATTTCTCCGTACTTGAGGCGTGGATCAAGCTTTTATCGTAGCTTGTAAAAATAAAAATAAATACGAAACACGCGTAGTCGGACCAAAAGAGAGACATATTCTGAAATATATTAATCCACATTTTATCTTCAAACTAAATTGATAATGTGTAGACTTTATATAAAGCCACAGGGAGCAAATTTGTGCAGTAACGTGCTAGAATGACAGGTCCAGCCCCTCGAAAATATCAAAAGTTCAACGATATCCGCTTCACTATAAATTCTGATTTTTTAAACACTTGTAGCTATTATTCCTACTATTCTGAAAAGTGCTGGGAGCTGGTTGTGCATTGTTGATTTATTCCGTAATGTAACATTATTCCAATGCGAATTACATTTTTGACTGGAGTTTATAGAAAGACGGCTAAATTTTAAACGATTCCCGAGCATGAGGAAGTTGCTCCCAGCACTTTCCGTGTTAAGGAATTTGTCTTAAAGAAAACAGAATAAATTTTATAGCAGAAAAATGCCCGTATATCGTTGAACTTTTACGATCTTTGTAGTAGTACATATATGTTCTAATTTTAAAACTGTCACGTGACAAACAGCTGATGTAAGCGATGTCGTTTTGGCCGCACTCAGCAGAGATCCGATATATACAAGTGCAAACACCACAAATCACATTTATCAAAACTAATGCTGTTAAAAAAAATATTAAAATTGTATTCATTTTCCCTGAATATATTACGGCGTATATTTCATGGGCGTCCTTAACCTAGCTGCGAACCCACTTTATACCGTATAAATTGGGTAGCTATTAAAATCATTCCCTAATTAAAAGTGAAGTCAAAGGTCACTGGGAAGAAAAAGAAAATTGGATGCAGTTCATAAATTCTCACTAAATTATGTATCAATGCATAAGCTTACATAAAAATATCTTGAATAGTTTCAAAATGCAAATTTGAGAAAAGTGAGGTCAAGGTCAAAGGGAAGGTCAAGGTTAACAGATTTAGATGCAGGTCATTCCACGAAAATGTATCAGCATATGAAGTTTGTTAAATAAAATATCTTGATTCATTTCTTTAAAACTGAGCTAAACTCCAAGGACAAAGGAAAGGTCAAGGTCAGAAATGCTGAATGTTCAAAAGCTTCCAAAATATTTATAAACATATGAAGTGTGATAAAAATATCTTGAATAGTTTTTTGGAAACTTAGCTAAATACAAATATAAGAAAAGTAAGGTCAAGATCAAATGAAAAGTCAAGGTTAACAAATGATGATGAAATTAAATATCTCTTAACAATATGTATCATCATATAAGGTTTGATAAAATAGCTTGAATAGTTTCTTTGAAATTGAGCTAAACATTTACTTTAAAAAAATGCGAAGTCATGATCAATAAAGTGAATGAAATTGAAAACCTCTCATCAACAAGTGTCAGCATATGAGCTTTATAAAAATATCTTGAACAGTTTATTGGAAACTGAGCTGAACTGAACAAAAATTTAAGAAAGGTGAGGTCATAGTCAAAGGAAATGTCAAGGTCAAAAAATGTTGAGGGTTGAATAGCTCAATATATATCAGCATATACAGGTTTGACTAATACATGTTTAATTGTTTCTTGGAAACTTAGCTAAAGCCAACTTTAAAATAATGTTTGTTTGCCCTCTCCTGACACAGGATGAAAAAATTGAGTTGTTATGTAAGTGGGAATCCCCCACCCCCACCCCTTCCCGATAATATTAACATCAATGATGAATTTCAAAATATATTTTCCAGAATGAATAAAATAAAATAATTGTTTCTTGGATGTTAAAAAAAGTGTTTTAGCCTGAGTTAGTCAGGAGAGGCAAACAAACAAATTTTTAAAGATGGCCTAAACACAAAATTTTTTTGAAAAGTAAGTTCAAGGTCAAAGGGTAAGTCATGGTCAACAAATGTTGAAGTTAAACAGCTCTGAGCAATATGTACCAGCATATAAGATTTATTAAAGCTTCTTTGAAACTGAGCTAAACACATGCATTTAAAAAAAAAAAAAAAAAGGTCAAAGGAAAAGGTGCCCTGGCCATATTCATAGTAAGTGCATTCCATTAAGAATGAGAAACTGTTTCAGAAACTGAGTCATTTTAAATATATTTGAGGAAGAACCTTTGGCCAGGTTCTCATTTCATCACTTTACAAAGTTTGAAGCTAGCTGGTACAATCCTTTTATAATTTCTTAAAATTCTTGTCAAGAGGAGCATTAAATAGCCAGCTTTGTGTCTCCATTTCATTGTACTGGACACCGAGAACTGCTTCAATAATTGCTTTAATCTGTAAAGTATCCAAATATTGCTTACGCAGATTTAACATGCAACATTACCCTTCTTAGTATACCCTCTAATAGCATGGTCCTACTTTGCCTAATTTTGAAGCAATAAAGTAAAGTATTATTTCAACCGAGTTCTAAGTAACTTCTGGCATACATCCTTACAAGTTTTTAGAGTTGACTTTTCAGAACCTTCTTGAATCTGGTGAGTTAACTATATCGTATCTTAATTTACCAATAGTGATTTGATAAAGATGTCACTAGCTTTTGTCTGGTGAGTTAACTATATTGTATTTTTACTAATATTCACAGATTTGATAAAGATGTCACTAGCTTTTGTCTGGTGGTTTAACTATATCGTACGTATCTTTACCAATGGTGATTTGATAAAGAGGTCACTATAGTTTTTCTCTGGCTTCTGTGTATTGAAATATTCTCTCTGATTATTTTTACACTCGATTTTCTGTTGTTTTTTCTGCTTAATTTATACACGATCTATAGTAGAGGAAATTGTATGACTAATCATTTAAATTAACATGCAACATTGAAACTTACCTCATCTTTGGTGGCCAGATTGTTCTGTAAAAAAGAAAATAAATGTGACAAATTTCCTTTATCTGCAAAAATAATTATACATTACTGACATCTTAATACCGCTGTATTTCATTTTCGGTTGTGTAGCATTTCCAACAATTTTTTTAATTTCCAACATTTCCGGAATTTTTGCACGGTACCTGAGACTCTGGCAATTTAATGTTAACTAAGTACGTGGAAATGGAAATTTAAAAGAATTTATTTCAAACCACATTTTCAAAATAAGCTTTATAATTTCCATCCTAACATATCTGATCTCAAATTTAAACTGAACATTAGAAAAGGAGATGAGCAAAAGTTCACAACACTTACATGACGTGCCTCATGGAAAGAAAAAATCCTTATTATTTTTCACTTCATTGATAGCTAAGCAAAACTCATTTTTTGGATTTCAATGATTTATTCTTTAAAATTAATTTTTATGAGTGAAGTCTTCAATCTTGCTTTCATTGCTGAAAAGTACTCCCTGAAAAATGTTGGAGATGAAAACTTTAAAATGTCGGAAATGAAACATTGAAAATTTAAAAAAAATTCCGGAAATGAAATGCAGCACTTAATACAGTTTATTATCTTTCAAATTTTATTTCATTTATTTAAATGTCTAAAAATTACTAATAACAAGTATAAATTTTAAATGCTAAAATGCACTGCATTTAGTGAGAAGCAAGTATGTAATATTTTGACACACTGTCAGCTCTTTTCTGCTAGAAGTCTAGAAATGTCCAGTATTGTTTAATGACTACAACTGAATCATTTAGCTGACCCGATTCTGATTCTTCTGGTCAGGAACATTCTCTGTTATCCTTAGGATAACAATATATTCATTACACAGGCTAAGACAATTATCATATGGGTCCCCCCGAGATCTTAGGACATCAGCCCTGGACACAAGAAATCCAATTTCTTGCCACTTTTTCTGACACTATGGGGCTAATTTCATGAAATGTTCTCTCAAGATCAGCATTCGGCATTACTGTATGTCTTACACTCGAGATTCTGGCAATAAATTTCACCTAGTTTCTCTTGGACATGAGTTTGTTTACACAACACTAAGATGGCACGAAGGAAAACAAACCTCTACATGATAATTGCTCAGTTTTTGGGAATCCATCATTTGCTCAATATTGCCAACAGCAGGAAAACCTGTCTGCTTTGTGTTTTAAATTCACAAAATGAATTCTTCAACAAGTTTTTCACCCTGCTTCACAAGTTTAGAGATTATAAACATCATCATATGGATTTTTCAAGAGCTTTACAAAAAATTCATGTTATCAATTCTAAAGCTATAAGACTTTCTAAATCAACATCTCACTTGTCAAAGCAACATATGCCAGACAGAACATATAAATTTACAGTATATATGTAAATACATCAGCCACATTTCATTTATAATTGTCTTTGATGTGACAAAAATCAACACAAAAAAGGGAGGGAAAGGAAAATTAATCTTATTTTGCAACCTATACAACGAAGGCCTAGTCAACAATCCTATAACTGTCATTTTATTCCAGAATGATAGACACAGAATGACCAGCAGAGTCTGGAAATAAAAAAAAAATAGAACAAAAATCATGTCTTCTCTCCTTGTGGATTTATTTCCTATTTCAGTTTCATCCATTTGATAACCTGAACTAGAAAATATATTTTCCAAACTCTTTCATAGAAAAATGAACATTGGAGAATCAACACAAGACATTATATAAATATTAAAGTTATTCCTGCAAAATTCATATAGAAAAACTCTCCCACTTCTCAAATAAAGAAATTAATTCCATAATTTAAAAAAATCATAAATATTTCAAACAACACATTTTAAATATACATGTACATGTATATTTAACACTTACTTTTGTTTTATAAACTAATTATATTTCACACTTACTTTTTTTTTTAAATAAACTTAACTTATCTTGTTGACAATATATTCCTTAAAAAAGATTTTACTTTGTTTGCCTCTTAGAATTGTCAGAAGGAGCAGAGAAGATTTTCAAAGAATAAATGCATTTTTACTCTATAATAATCAATTGAGTGCCACCCTAAATCAGAAGCTCTCACCTTAGAGCCATGAATTTCACAATTTTGGATTAGGCACCCTTGCTTATCATAACTATGTACTTATATATATCTTATCTACAGGACCAGACATTTGATCCAGATTGGATTTGTCGAGTATCCTTTACTACAAATCCTAATGAAATTTAAAAACAGTGAAACATGGCACATTTGTAATTTACAAAATTGAAAAACACTTTTTTTGGTCAAGAAAGTGTGAAATTTCAAGTGTTCAGATATCTACAGTCAAACCTTAATATCTCAAACTCAATGGGACCAAGAAAAAAGTTTGAGATATCCAAGGATTTGAGATATTGAGGGTAAAATACTCGAAGAATAAGTGTTTGGGACTTCCAAATCACTTCGACATATCCATGGTATTCGAGATATCGAAGTTCAACTGTAAGTAATACCATAAATAATGTCAGGGCAGTCAGAAAATCTATCAAGACCTACATTGATTCAACTCCCTGAGTGTCTTTAAAAAATTGTCTGTTGTTTTACATCCCTGAAGAATTGATCTATCTCACATCAATCATACCCTGGTTAATCCATATTATATATAATGACACGCAAAAGAAACATAACATCCTATTTGCAGAAAAAATAAGTTATTTTGTATAATTTTGAATTGTAAAAATTAATTATGACTTCTACAATTTGTTTATAATTTAACAGTTGTCTGATTCTCATTCCATTTCCAGACCCAAGTCCTATTCTGATTAAATGGAAACCTTAAATTGCCTGTTTTTCCCCCTATTTGACCAAGATTTGGGTTCATATGACTTAGTTTCTATGCATCACAAGTAAAAGACACAAAGATGCAGTAAAACATGCCTCTACATGTGTAATGTCTCATTGGTTAGACTCGTAATAGTCCTAGGACCAGACAGGGTCTAGAACACTGTCTCTCCCTTTTTCTTGGCATGGATTTTGACAAAATTTATCATAACCAATGTAATGTAGGAGGTGTGTGCACCTGTCATTGTCAAATACATGCTTGAAATCCATGTAAACAATGGTATGCAAAAAGTGTTAATATGCTCCCAGTTTATATCATGCAAAATCTTAAAAACAAATGAGATTTTAATAACCAAGTGGTTTTTTCTTTAAAAAATTGGTTACCCAAGTGAACCAAAAATGGATTGTGTAGAAAAGTGGTAGATTTTTTAATAAAATCGGTAGGCAGGAGATGAAACAAAAATGTGATCTACTTTCGTCTAAAGCAGTAGAATTAAAATGTATGATATAAATGAGAGCTTAATTTCTATTGCATTTTTATTTCAAGTTATTTTTTTTGTTTAAGGATAAAATCATTAAAATTTATACTTCAGTGAAACAATCTGATATACTTCTCAAAAGGGGACATAAAAATGTCAACAACAACAAAAAATTCAAGCCAAAGAATAATGGACAGAATTTAATTTCTTTGAGATATTAACCAGAAACAATATGAAACAAATCAAGTCTGTGACTTTGACCTTTGACTCTTTTACTTCAAGTGGGGTCATATTTTTATTATAGACAGTACTGAAATGAATCTGGAAAACTTGACTTTATACCATATACGAGTTTGTAAATTTGGCATTTGACCTCAAAAGCAATACAAGTCTTTATTAAGTCATAAAGAATAATCTTTTAGTCTCATTTCAGAGCTCAAGGAGACCTAAAATTATCTTTTTCTGCAATGCAATGAATTTTTGACCCCAAAATCAATAGGAAACTTCCTTTATGTGATAATGTGAAATTTTATTGCAAAAGCTTAATTACTTTCAGAGATATCATCCTGAAACTAGTGTAGTGATACTCTTTCATTACATATACAAATTTGTGACCTTGATTATTGACATTTTGACCTCAAAATCAATAGGGGTCTTTTTCAAGTCATAAGAAGTTATGATATACAGTCAAACCTCGCTATCTTGAACTCAATGGGACCAAGAAAATACTTTGATATAACCGAGGATTCAAAATATCCAAGGTAAAATACTTAACGAATAAGTGGTGGAGACTTCCAGCTCACCTCGACATATCCGTGGTATTCGAGATATCAGTGTTCGAGATTCCGATGTTCAACTGTATTGCAAAAGCTATCATCTGGAAATGACAGTTTTACAGACAGACAGAAGGACAGACAGACCCAATAATTAATATCCTTCACTTTTGGTGACACTGGGGGGTTAAAACATGACAGATTCAGTGCTTTAGTTCAAATTAAAACACAACTTACATGAACTCTAAATTAAGACATTCCAAGCCTGAAATGACTGACATATATATTACATATGACTAGAAGCCCGAGTTAAGAGTAATCCCATTATCCATTACAGATTGCTTTTACCCAGACCTGGTCGTTGATGGTATATATGATAACGTTTCCCACAAGAGGAATTGTTTATGCTATAGGAGACCCATATGACAATTTATTCCACAGGGACCCCTTCATCTGGCTTAATCAATCAGAACCATAATACCTAAATCTTAATTTATCATTAATAAATAAGGACATGCTCAAATTTGTTCTCCAGGAAATGTGATCAATGTCAAACTGTCACCATATATAATGGTTACCAAAGCAGTTGAGCAGCTTAGACCAGTGAATGGTCAGTGTATGAATGTACTGACTTCTGTAAAATGACAGGATCAAAAGACTGACATACAAACATGTGTCCAATAGAGAGTGCAACTGAGGCAAGACAATGTCAGTCATCATATATTAAAGCAATCATGTCAGTAAATAAAACTTTTAGTTTAACTGTTATTTTCTTGACTTTTTCAGAAGAATGACAGAAATACAGGATGAAAATCATCAAATCAATATCACCATGACGATGACCCTCGCCAACAACAGCATCCTCCTTCCATCTGACCAGAGTACAATCCAGCCTCCAACCCCCTCAGATTTAGATGCCATTGACATCCTTAATAACTATGGACTTCCAACAGTGTGTTTGTTTGGAATTGTGGGAAATATCTTAAACCTTACTATTCTAACTCGACGAAAACTCCGCCGTTCATTACGGACAGTAGAACAAGCTGCTAACTTGTGCCTCATATCTTTAGCTCTCTCCGATTTCTTATTCTGTTTGTTTGCTTTCCCGACCACGTTCTTACCCAGTGATCACTACACGGAGAAAGGCTTTATTCTGTATTACGGGCAGTATTCCCCCGCAATCATCAACGTCTTCATCCTCACCAGCACCTGGCTTACTGTTACTATGGCAACAGAGAGATACATTGCGATTTGTCACCCACTGAACCAAACCTTATTGATGACCTTAAGAAAGACAAAGTTAATAATAATCATTGTGTATGTTTTATCTGCGTTGTTTAATGTCCCAGTGCTTTGGAGAAATCAAGTCATTGAGACTGTGACTGGTAACAACACGGTTGTCTACTCCCTGAAAATCATACCATTGGGACATGATACAATGAAGGATACCACATACCGAGTAGTATGGGCAATAGTTGGGAACTTTATACCTCTTATTTTATTGGTGGGCTTCAACATCTGTATCTGTCGTAAGATACATCAGTCCTACTTATATCGCAAGAAATTTCACTATGACCAGGCTTCTTCCCAAGATACAAATGTGACGCTAACAACGACGCTTATTGTCATTGTGGTGATGTTCCTTATCCTGGTGGCGCCCTCAGAAATTGTCCTCCATATTGCAAGCATACTTCACACCGAGAATTACAGGTCGATTGAAGCCGTCATGAACTTCATGCAGTCTGTTAATTTTTCAGTGAATTTTATTTTATACTGTATAATTAGTTCTTACTTTCGTAAGACCTTACGACATATTGTGTGCTGCTACTGGCGGAACCACAGAAGAGATTCGTATAGACTCAGCATGAAAGAAAGCAAGGTTCCACTTCAAAATATTAACGATGGATCGTAAGAAAAACTGTGATTAATTAAAACCAGAAATTGTCCTGCTAAAGGAGGTCTTCAAAGCTCAATATCTTGGACAATTCTTGCTCTGATTGGACAACTCTAGTTCTTCAAACTTTCAATCAAACACTTCTTACTGTTGTAACTAACAGTGCTGAAACCATGAACAAACTCTGTTACCAAACTTTTTTTAATACTTTGTTAATTACAGTTCACTCTAATTACAGTTCATTCTACAAATAAATAATAAATCCTTGAATTTAAAATAGATCAATTTTTTCAAAAAAAAGAAAAATATAATCTCAAAATACAATTAAAATAGTTCCATTTCTCAATTTCAGTGTTGGTTTAATTTAGTATTTAACAGTCAATTTTTACTCATGACAACTTAATACTTTGGTCAACATCATATTCACTTGAAATCTTAGTTCCCAATTCTCCTATCTATAAAATTCTAAATCCACTGAATGGTCAGAAAGGCACCAAGGATTTTCAACTGCTGATCTGGATTCATCCAAAGATTCTTAAATTTAAAATTTTTTAAAATTGCAACTTTTCTAATATGTTAGCAACACCCATCACTAAGTATAAATTCAATGCTACTATAAAAAAAAAATTCCAATTTGTTTCTTTATGTGGTACATCATTTCAAAATGGACATGCCACCTTTTAAATGACTGGGTGTAAGAAATATCTTTATATATTGTTTAAAAAAAAAAAAAGAAAGAAAATTAGAATGCAGTCAAAATTTTTGTAGAACTCAATAACATCCCCTGGCAAGCTTGCCTATAAGCATACCAATCCATGGTGCTAAATAAGACATTCAACCTTAATGCGCCTCTTACTTTGGTATAGAAGATTATAGAGTGATACCCTAAGAAAAAAAAAAGGTGTCAATTTTTTTACATAAAGACGTTAGACCTTTGAATTTTGAAGGATAATAATTTGTAAATAGTAGGTACATCTATGAGGAAACACTTTAGTTTATTTATACATTCAGGGTAATCAATCCATTGCGATATCGTCAACACAGTCTGCTGTGAAAAGTTGATATTTTTGCACACTGATTTGTGTGTTTCAATATAATACCAAACTCATTGTGTGTTTATAAATATTGATAAATAGTGTGCATTTCTAGTTTTGCTCCTTGATATCTGTCCAGTTCGTTTGCCAATAATGAGTAACTTGAGTATGACTTATGCGAAGACTCACCAAAGTTTCTGAGTCCTAGGTAACAGGAAAGATAACTCTAAAAAGGAACAAGTCACCCATACAGTAAATATAAACCAGTTTCAGCATTTGAAAACATTATTTGGAGTGTAACATTCTTAGATGTTTCCTTTAAGTATGCTTGGTCCAGATAGGCTTTCAGTGACCATTGACTTGGTCCAAACACATTTATAATTAAGAACAAATCCAGCATCTGAAACAAGTCTGTTTATTATCATTCTGTTTAAGATGGGGGCAAACTCGGAAAAGAGTTAACCAGCAAAAACAAAAAAAAATTATACTTTGCACCATTGCACCACACTCTAAGATCCTATTTCATGGGGGAGGGGGTAAGACCTTATCTAATTTTTCTGTATACTGTTTTCTTCTAAATGCTGGTATTTGCGTATTTTAATTGTCTGGCAACAAAAAGTGGGGGGAGCAGCATCCAAATCAAAACCTACATATTAAAACTACAGCAAAAAATTATTTTCAGAAAAAAATGAAGGTCTGCCCTCTCCCAGCGTACTACAGGGTGTTTTAAACCTTATTCTTCATTAAAATATTCCCATACTATAAGGAGAGAAAAATTTTCTTATGCGTTTTCCCTTTCATGAATGTTTATGCATACTCCTTAAAGCTAGTTACTTCAGAATATGGTACAAAAACGGTACAGAACCAGAAAACTTACCAAATTGAAACCTTGCATTTTACTTATCAGATATGGTGAATTAAGTAGAACATTTTTCTTTCACTCACTCATAAATGAAAACCATTTGTGACTGCCTTATAGAAGATAGGATAAGACCCCCCTTTTGGCCCCTGGTTTAGGATGTTTCTAAGAACGATGCAAAAGTTCATCAGTAAAAACCTGTTGTCATCCCTGTTATAAAACGAGTACTGATTCTAAGTTATGGGATACATAAAAGTCACAGGGAGGTAAAAAATCTGACAATTTCCAAATTCTTTCATTTTTACGCAAATTTTCATAATTTTTACAGTACATTTTATTTAAGATTAGAAATATGTCCATTGGACATGAATGCCCCACCGAGGGTATATTAGTAATGCAACATGAAAATTTGTATTAGTGTATGAAATTTGATGAGAATAACTTGAATAGTTTCTTTAAAATTGAAATCTAAAAAGTTGGATATAGATGATAAATTCTCACCAAATTATGTACAAGTACATAAGCTTACATAAATACATCTTAAATGGTTTCTTTAAAACTAAGCAAAATGCAAATTTAAGAAAAGTGAGGTCAAGGTCACAGGAAAGTTCAAGGTGAAACATTTTTTATGCAGTTGAATAGTTCTCACAAATACGTATCAGCATATTAAGTTTGATAAAAAAAAAAAATGAGCTAAACACTAATTTAAAATAAATGAAGTTATTAGGTCAAAGGAAAGGTCAAGGTCAAAAAATGTTGATGCAGTTGAAAAGCTTACATCAGTATGTATTGGTATATGAAGTTTGATAAAAATATTAAGAATGGTTTCTTAAATACTGAGTTAAACACAAACTGATAAAAGTGAGGTCAAGGTCAAATGAAAGGTCAATGTCAAAAATGTTGATGCAGTTTAATTGCTTACATCATCAGTATGTATCATCATATGAAGTTTGACACTAATTTAAGAAAAGTGAGGTAAAAGCCAAAGGAAAGGTCAAGGTAAAAAATGTTGATGAGTTGAATAGCTTTCATCAGTATGTACCAGCATGTGAAGTTTGATAAAAATATCTTGAATGGTTTCTTTAAAACTGAGCTAAACACTAAGTTTAAAAAAAAGTGAGGTCAAGGTCAAAGGAAAGGTCAAGGTCAAAAATGTTGATGCAGTTGAATAGCTCTCATCAGTATGTATCAGCATATCATGTTTGATAAAAATATCTTGAATGGTTTCTTTAAAACTGAGCTAAACACTAATTTAAGAAAAGTGAGGTCAAGGTAAAAGGAAAGGTCAAGGTCAAAAATGTTGATGCAGTTGAATAGCTCACATCAGTATGTATCAGCATGTGAAGTTTGATAAAAATATCTTAAATGGTTTCTTTAAAACTGAGCTAAACACTAAGTTAAAACAAGAGGCCCAAGGGCTTTAACGGTCACCTGAGTATAATACAACAATTTAGAGGATCCATAAAGTATAAAATAAACTGATAGATGAAACTTTGTTGCCCAAAAATAAGTGAAATAGGATGATCAGGATCAATGAAATAATTAGTCTAGTATTCAGTAACAACTTACAAACTAAATTCTAATCCATCTCCCATTTATCACTATTGCAGTGCAGACAATTAACAAACTATTAGTTCTTCTGTGCAACTTTTAATCCCACATTGAGACCTCCCACACTGGCCTCTCTTGGTCTTTGAAAAATATTTAATGAGATAAGTTATTTTTGTCTCATTCTGATTCATTTATTATTTACTAGTCTACCTGATCATTAAAACTATGAAAGTACTTTTTGTATTATACAAAATCATTTCTTGCATAATTATCTTAGTCTATTGACCTTAAATACATTATTTACAGTGATTAATTATCAAAAGTGAATGGCAAAGGGAAATAACTTCTCTCAGTAGAATACAAATTAATAGAGCGCTAGCCAGGACCAGAACACTTGACCAAATGGTCCTGATGTTCAAAAATCTGGTAAAAATATCCTTGCTTATTAAAACTTTTATTCTGTTTGCCTTCCATTTGCCAAGGAGCAGAGAATATTTTCAAAGAAATAATGCATTTTCACTACAGATTCAACACAGCCCTATCCTAACACTAAAACCCATGTCCCAGGGCCATGAAATTCACAAATTTGGTAGAGGTACCCTCATCCTCATAATTATGCACTTAGATGAAGATTTTCAAAGAATTAACACATTTTCTTCATATTATCAATATAGCCCCCCCCCCCTCCCCCACCGCAAAACACCAAAACCTGGGACCACAAGTTTTAAAACAAATTGTAAGAAGCACAATTGTTTATCATAACTATGCACTTTGTTTATCTGCTCAACACTAAGGGGCAGACAGGATTAGTTCATAGAAATTATAAATGCATTTTCACTAAATTATCAGAGATTATGCTTTTTCACTATATTATCAATACAGCCCCCCCCCTTCCTTACCCTGGGGCCATGAATTTCACAATTTTTAGAAAGGCATCATTGCTTATCATAATCACACACTTAGTTTGTTTTAAATAATACCCAGGACCAGAGAAGAAGATTTTCAAAGAAGTAATGCATTTTCACTATATAATCAATGGAGTCCCGCCCTAACACCAGAACCCCTGACCCTGGGGCCATGAAATTCACAATTCTGTAAAAGGCATCCTTGTGCATCATAACCATGCACTTAGTTTGTTTAAACAATACACAGGAGCAGAGAAGAAGATTTTCAAAGAATTAATGCATTTTCACTATATAATCAATAGAGCCCTGCCCTAACACCAGAACCCCTTACCCACGGGCAATGAATTTCACAATTTTAGAAAAGGCATCATTGCTTATTATAACCATGCACTTAGTTTGTTTAAATAATACCCTGGAGAAGAGAAGATGATTTTCAAAGAATTAATGCTTTTTCATTATATAATCAATAGAGTCCTGCCCTAACACCAGAGCCCCTGACCCTGGGGCCATGAAATTCACAATTTTAGAAATGACATCATTGCTTATCATAACCCTGCACTTTGTTTGTTTAAATAATACCCTGGAGAAGAGAAGATGATTTTCAAAGAATTAATGCATTTTCACTATATAATCAATAGAGCCCCACCCTAACACCAGAGCCCCTGACCCGGCATCATTGCTTATCATAACCATGCACTTAGGCCAACATTTTTTTATATTCTGTTTTACGGGAGCGCCGACCCTAATTTGGGCTAAAATGAAATAAAAATAAAAGTCCCCAATTCAAGTTTTATTTTTATTTCTCCCGCCGATAGTTTATTTATAGTCACTGAAAAAATAAAAGAAATATAAATAACCTTTTTACAA